GAACTGGCCACCCAAATCACCCCCTGAAGCCTAAAACCATGAATAAGAATGGTAATAATAGGTTTCTCACTCCACACCCTACCTACATTCCCCAGGATCGCAACTGTAATTACTCTCAGAAAGAAAACTTCTCACACCCTTTAGTACCGACCCATCACATAACAACGGCTCCCATGTATAACAGCAGTCGCAACTCCTCCCAGTTACGCGTAGCAGACCCCTCTCACGCTAACGTAAATAGCCATAACAGGGGCTACGAGTCTAACCATCAAGACTATTTTGTAAATAACCATACACTTCACAGTAGGCCTGTACAAGATTTTTTTGGAATAAGACCCCTAGTGACACCTCTGTTGAAGCATATAGCCCAGGTTATTTCAAACCACATGCAAACCATAAATTTGTTTCCTCCGTACAGTTTCCACCAGAGAGTACTCCCACCCTTTCCTCCTGGGTAAACTCCCCAATCAACTTCACTAGCTCATTTGATACATCTCCCAATAAGTCTAGCTATCAAAATACCGAGCTAATGAAGAACATCCAATCCCTCACATCAAACTCATCTCATACGCGCGAGGGTTACGACAATTTTATCCGAGATACCCTCACCCATTTTAACTTAGTAGGCCACCTGCTTAATATATGTCTTATCAACGCTCGATCGATCTGCAACAAAAAGACGGATTTAGCCCTGTTTGTATCCATATATCAACCATCAGTTATTATGATATCTGAAGCATGGACTAACAGTAATATTTCCGACCGAAGTATATCTCTTGATAACTATTCCCTATATAGAAGCGATAGATTGAATGGACGAGGCGGAGGATGCCTTATTTACGCTCACTCTAGCCTAAACTCACTGCTATGTGATATGCCTGAACTAAACAAACTGAAGGATTCGGTGTGGATTGTATTAAAGCCGTCGAATTCCGTTACCTTACTGCTCGGCTGTGTTTATCGTCAACCTAACGCATCAATAGATGAAATAGCAGTATTATCGGAGGTATTCACACTAGCATCATCCCTCTCATTCACAGGCAAGCTCATTTGTGGTGACTTCAATATGCCCGAAATTTCTTGGCTGCCAGTCAAAGCGCCGAGACGTTATGAATCATTTATTGAATGTCTAGAGCTTGGACAATGGACTCAGTATGTCGATAGCCCTACCAGACATCAAAACATCTTAGACTTAGTCTTTACCAGTGGCCTCATCCCCAATACTTTGTATATTGGAAAAAAGTTCCCAGGTAGTGATCACAACATTGTCATATGCAGCCTTAATGTAAAAACCACAACCGATAGAAGTAAAACCGTAACACTTCGTAGAAACTATCGCAAGGTTGATTGGAATAACTTCCACAATTACTTAAGAAGCACTGATTGGAGAACTTTCTTTACCTCAAACAATACCGACACATTAATCAATATATTTTATCACAACATCAAAAGTATCATCAACAACATCGCACCTTTAGAATACTGTAAACCTACGTTCTCCAAAGATCTCTATATACCGGTCAGTACAAGAAGACGTCTTCAAAGACATTGTACTCGATTCCACAACTTAAATGACTTTTCCTCTTTAGTAACGATGACAGAAATACTTGTCCGAACAGAGGCAATAAGTAAACAAAAAGCAGTAGCACAGGAAAAACGTGCAGTTGAACTTAATAATAACTCCTCTGCACTCACCATACTACTCCAAAATAAACTTAAACGCTCTAAATCGAGAGGGAGTATATTCATTAAAGGCAAACAAGTATACGAAGATCCCAAACTTATCACAGAATTATTTAGTGAACATTTTTGTTTCTCACTAACTAACGAAAAACCATTTAATGATTCAGAACCAATCCCAGTAACTCCCTGTGAAATTACTAATGTAGAATTCAGTGTACAAAATATCTCCAAGGCAATCAGTACATTGAAACACTCCTACACTGATGGACCAGATGGTATCCCATCTAGCATGCTAAAACGTGGAGGTGATGATATGTGTGTTTTGCTTCTCAAACTATTCGCGATATCACTCTCTTCAGCGTGTTACCCTACTGCCTGGAAAACTACACATATCATTCCCAAAATTAAAACAGGACCTGAAGCAAACGTTGAAAATTACCGGCCTATAAACATAACTTCAGTGGTATCCAGAGTGATGGAAAAAGTAGTTAAGGCGGCTGTAGTCCAACATCTACTAACTAATAATCTCATCTCGACCTCCCAGCATGGATTTCTTAGGTCCAGATCATGCGATACATGCCTAGTAGACTACCTGAATGATATAACTCTGAAACGAGACAGCGGACTCCTTGTATCAGTCCTATTCCTTGACTTTAAGAAAGCCTTTGATAAGGTCCCACACAAAAGGCTACTCGTCAAACTAAAGTCCTTCGGAATACACAACCCACTGTACTCATGGTTTGCTTCGTTCTTAACAGAACGTAAACAGATGGTAAAGTACAATGACTGTCTCTCGTCCCCTAGACCAATCACCAGTGGAGTCATCCAGGGAAGCGTATTAGGTCCACTTTTGTTTCTTATGTATATAAACGATATATGTAACACCATAGAATTTGGGAAACCATACTTATATGCTGATGATCTCAAAATAGTATACAGCTATAAGCCTGAGACACTAAGCGAAAGTGTATCCCAGATCCAAAAGGACCTCAATAACTTAACTATATGGAGTGAAAAATGGCAATTACCATTTAACCTCAACAAGTGCGGGATCATGCACTTTGGAAAGCATCCCTATAAACCGCGACTTCACTTAAATGAATGTAGAGTCCAAACATTCGAATCAGTACACGATTTAGGAATTAATTACACAGGAAGCCTAAACTTTGAAGAACATGCCTCCTCTATTATTTCTAAATCTAGACGGCTAATTGGTTTTATAATGAAAAACTTTTTCACAACAGAGGGTAAACTTACTCTCTACAAAATATGTGTACGACCCTCCCTTGAATACTGCTCTTTTGTCTTCTCTAATATGAATATCGCAGACAAGATAAGAGTAGAAGATGTTCAAAGACGTTTCACACGTCAACTACTAGGATGTAACTCGAATCTCGATTACACAGAAAGATGTAAGCATCTATCTTTAGAACCTTTATGGCACCGTAGGCTAAAAAACAATTTAATATTTCTCTACAAAGCGATATATGGGCTCTCCTTTCTAACCTCCTGCCCGACTATCACCCACGACCCAGCCTATAGACTTAGAAACAACGCATATACACTACTTACCGTAAAACACCAAAAACAAATGCGTTGTAAGTTTTTTACAGTACGGTACAGTTTATTGTGGAACAGGCTGCCAATGCCTATCCGTAACTGTGATACGTTTACCAGATTCAAAAAGCTAATAACCCTATTTCTAGACTCCAAAGAGCTTCAACATTTCCTTGAACTCCCGCCCACCAAGGAGGCACTTTATTACGGACCGCCTAGTGTCTAGAAAGAACAAAATTATAACACGTTCGACTGTTACTAATATGAATATAACCAAATCACAGAATATATGGCCTATCCTTTCCTATTATTCATTGTTTATTAATCATGACTTCATGCTCCTAACCCTAGCTTTCAGTCCCCAAATCTCTACAGGTTAAATGTACATTATTCTTCCTAAAAGTCATGCTTTTTTTTCTACTGCAATTAGACAGATAGCTCAACCTTATGGATGCTGATCTACTAAGGCCGATCATACAAAGCTCAAAATTTGGCCACAAAGTCTTGTGAGTTTCTCAATGTTTTATTTGTCTTACCCTGAAATCTTTTTTTTTTCTACAATTTTATACCCTCTCATATCTTTTGATTTGCTATTAGTCCTTACTTCTTTAAACCATTAGTTATTTTCATAGCAGTGTGATATACTATATGGACATCTAACCCAAAAAAGACTTTTCAACTATCTGATTTGCTTGTAACATGGACCTAGTAGAGACAGTGTATTCCAACTATGGGCTTTGATTAAAGCAGTATTCATACTTACCACAAACGTAAGAGAGCCTAACATCACAAAAGGAGGGAGGGTGGCGTTACTGACCAGCAAACATGAAGGTGGGGAGATAACTTCAATCCACCCATGTCTGTAGGGCAGAACATTTTGTTTAATTACGGCTCCTTATGTTTTAGTGGGATGTCACGAACTTATGGTATTGATGCTGATTTATCACGCAAAATACCTCTTTAAATCGTGTTACGAACGTTGAATTGGTTTCACTTCCTACCCAGAAATCCTATTACAAGCAAACTAGACAATTCGCTAATATACGAAGCCTACTCAAGACCCTATAATACCTGAAAAAAATAATAATACAAAAAAAACGAAAGGGGCTCTAATAGCTTCGATAATAAAAGGAAGATAGCCAATTGTATATCACAATACTGTTTCTAGCACTAGATTTTATTTTATAATCACAAATAATCCCATACTTTCAGCTCCTTTACGAATCGCCTCCATTTGTCAGTTGTATGTCCACTCACACCTTGTTATCACTTATTTTCTTTAACCTATTAAAATGCGATTTCTTAACAAATACCTTAATAAAAGAAAATTAGACTGAGTAATCATACCTTGAACATTCCTTCATGAATGTTGGCTACTCTGCCCCTCGTGTTTTCTTTTACTTGCTCCCTCTTTCAGCCCCCTTGAGATATGGAACGGGTGACTTCATCCTGCACCATCCTTAAAGCCTTGGATATTCTAAAGGGACATAAGGTTGCGATTTCTAGAAGCTCATACCTTCAATGGACCTATCCTTGACCACCAGTCGCACATTTGCAACGCAACTTTCATGAAGCGCGCTAACTGTAGAACTGCTTAAAACCATCTACATTCATATCTCATAAATTATCAACCCAGCTATGTAATTTACTACAGTGAATATTGTATCATTTGTATCAATTTGATCTTGCCTGTAAACTGGCATGCCTCATGTAACAAACTGTTATTTGAGAATAAACTATTATTATTATTAAAAGTAACCAAGACTTAACTGATTCCATTGAGAAAAGAATCACCAAAGTACTCAGAGATCTTCTGAAAAAGAAGATGATCGATAACTCTGGTTACAATAATCTACGACCTCGTGGGTCTCGTTTGCCCCACATGTATGGATTACCGAAAATACATAAACAAGGTTATCCTCTTAGACCTATTTTGTCAAAGATCACTTCACCATACCACAAAGTTGCACGATGGTTGGCAGATAAGTTAGAACCAGTGCGTCAACGATTAGCCACCTATACACTAAAGGATTCATTTGTATTTGCTGACAGCATGAATCACATAAATATTGCTGGTAAGTTTATGGTTTCTTTTGATGTAACATCATTGTTTACAAAAATACCACTTCTTGAAACCATAGACATAATTTGTCAACATTCTGACATCCTACCTCTACCAGTACCAGAATTCAAACGACTGTTACTCATTTGTACACAAGGTGTTCAGTTCCAGTTCAACGATATCATATACAAACAAACCGACGGTGTAGCGATTGGAAGTCCGTTAGGTCCTGTCCTAGCGGATATTTTCATGGCTAACCTCAAAAGAACCAAAGTCAAACGAGCGATTGATGAAATGACGTATTATTCGAGGTATGTTGATGATACCTTCATCGTATGTAATAATAAAAAACATGCAATAAATCTGATAGAGTTTTTCAATGAAGCACATCCGAATATCCATTTCACTATGTAACATGAAAAAGAAAACAAGTTCCATTTTCTCGATATCGCGATGAAACGAAGAAAGGATGGTACAGTTCAACGTTCAGTTTATAAGAAAGACACATGGAATGGTAGTTATCTCAGTTTTAATAGCTTTTGTCTAATCAGTTACAAAAAGGCACTGGTCAAAACACTTTTCACAGAACAGAAAGAATATTTACTTCCGATACACTAGAAGAGGAAGTTATGAATGTTAAAAATGTTTAAAGAATAACGGATACCCACTGAAATTTATTGAGAAATACGGCAAATGTGGAGATAAAAAAACCGAGAGAAATTACAGCAAATAAAAAGCCTATTTTTGTTCAATTTCAATTCAAAGGTGACGATGTCACAGGATCAATCAATATGAGACTAAAAACTGCACTGACAAGAACTTATCCTGCAGCGAAATTGATTGTCCTGTCCAAAACAACATGTTCTTTGACACAATCAAAGGTCGACAGGTATCCCTTTCATGTTACCACCAACTGTGTATACAAATTTACATGTACCTGCCAAAGCAGTTACATTGGTAGAACAGAAAGGAGAGCCTACGTCCGATTCAAAGAACATATTCCTAAAAGTTTAAGATTAAATGGATTGAACGTATTCAACAGTGCTATCGCAAGACATCTCCTTGATACAGGACATGAAGTTGATATACTGAAGTCCTTCAAGGTGATTAACAAACAATCAAACTCAAACCTTTTGAAATTCGCTGAAGCGTTGGCAATCAAACGTTTAAAACCAGATCTATGTATACAAAAAGAGACAGTAATAAATCTTTCTTTACCCTGGTAACAATAACCGCCACCCTTTCTATTCATTTGCTCCTAGTTATTTATTTATTGCGTCATTATTGCAACTCTTTCTGAAGTTTAAAATTACATCATACATAAGTGATTGATTTCAATTCATTTTTCTTTATTACCATTGATCTATTTTCATGAGTTCTAATCACTATTTCAATGTTCTGGAACTTTCTCTCTCAAGCTTTATTTATTTATTCGAATCGAACATTTTATGAACTCATTAACTCTATCTGAATTTTTGCTACATCATCATACACATGTATTGATCCTTAATCACACTCTTATGTATAAATATGTCAATATCTGTAATAATTTGAATTTCAAATAATTTAGGTTGTAAGCAGCTGATGAGAACCTAACGAAATAAAATGAATTCATATTATTCCGCACCAATCTTTGTTATTGCTCTATTTAAGATAATAAAGGGAACTATGTGTATAAACGTATGTTGTACAGAGCAATCAAGCTTACGAGAATGAGCCATGCCATCCGATCAATTGGGATTTGTTGGATTCATTCTTCCCGCGTTCCCCATCGTTGTTTTTGTCTCCGCGCTAAATGTTTGTTATCCGATTTCCCAATTGTCTCATGTTCAGCTTCGAGAATTGTGTGGTTAGTGCCACTAAAGTCACCCACCAAAACGTGGAGGTGACGTAAAAACTGTGGCGATGGTGGAGTTAAAACCGAGTCACGGACGTCTTTGGCAAATGAAGGATGGAGGACAGAACTTAAGTCTCTATAGGGAATTCCTTCACACTTGATATTGTGTCTCGCAAAATAATGCTCTAGTTGAGCAAACCACAACTCGGGGTCACTACGATCAGATTCTGGAAGTCGAACTTTCGTAGTCATAACAGTATCTATCTCCACTCGTGAATAATCTTCAAGGCCTTGAGTTTGTATTGAATCTAGCATGAGATTTATGACCAATATAGTAATACAATAAGTATGGGGTCAAAAACAGACTACAACACGAACAATGTAAGGTAAAAAACTACGCACAAATATATATACCAAAGTTTGGTTAAGGATAATCAGAAGGTCTACTTTTACGGCTAAGCAAAAAAGAATAGTAATAATTGGATGAAATTATATTTGTGCTCAACATAGAGCTCACCGGGTTTGAGCTTGTAGGTAATCCTTGATGGCCTTTTTGTGTCTGTAGGTAACCCTCGTTCTATTGATAGAAGAAATCAGATCAGTAGTAAGTAGGTCTTCATTTTCTCGTTGGACAAGAACATAGTGGAACGGGAGTTTGCCTGTTCAAACATACAAATCCTTTCAATATTCAATATAAGATAGTAGGAAATATAATGCCTATAAGAAATAAGGAAATGAATGAATACTTTGGCTCTACTGTTTTGACATATACTTAGTTGTTTGAGGTCAACCCTTGACGAATAACCTGAGTTGTTACGAACGTTGTTAAACATGTAGAGTTATTGCTTCGCTTTCCATCATCCTCTGATTTCGTAGTAATTAATGGTAGAGTTTGTTTATCAATGGTGGTATTTGGTTTTCCTTGCTGCTCCTCATAGGAAGCAGGTTTTATTTTATATGGAGAGATGGTTTTCTTCTCTCCGTTTTTTGTTAATGATTAAGTGTTTGGTCGTCCGTTTAATTACTTGATGAGGTCCTTCGTGTGGATGCTTTAACGGTTTTTTAGCAGCATCGACTCAAACAAAGGCAAATTTCCACATTTGCAGACGTTTGTCGAGTTGTGTGTGACTATTATACTCAATCAGAGGTATTGCTTCAACTTTTTTCATCTTTTGTAATAGATGGGTTGAAAAGCAAGTTGAGACAGTTGGTTTTGTTGTATCTGGGTCGAACAGTTGTCGTGGTAATATTAGGAATGCACAGTAGAACAATTTGGCTTATGTGCGACCGATATCTTCCTTGATGATTGAGCGAATTCCAAAAAATACAAGTGGTGAGGCGTCGCGCCTTTTTGATGTATCAACTTGTGCCATCAGCTAGCTTTTTAGTTGACAATGAAATCTCTCAACCAGGCCACTCGCTGTTGGATGATAGGCTGTTGTTTAATGTGTCTCACTCCCAGAAGTCTGGTAAACTCTTGACATGGAACGGACTGAAACTGGGGACCACAGTCTGCAGTAATGATTGATGGGACTCCATAGTTATCCAACGGTCAAGAAATACTAATGAGACTGTTTCTGCTTATATATCTTCGATAGAACATGCTATTGCCAATCTAGTAAACCTGTACACAGCCGTAAAAATATGTATGAAGGAGTTCGATAATGGAAGAGGACCAACATTACCTAAATGTACATGTTGGAAGCGTCTGTCAGGTAATGGAAACTTTCCAAGGGGGCCAAATGCATGTCGTTAGACTCTGCTACGTTGACACTTCATGCAGAGTTAATTTTAGGCCAGACAAAACGTTCAGTAATAAGTTTTGCTGTGGCCCGGATGCCAGCGTGTGAAAGTTCGTGTAATTGTCGAAATATGCGTCGTCGACAAGCTCTAGGGACAAAAAGACGGTTGTTACCAGTTGAAACATCGCAAATAATAGATAAATCGGAGAAAGGAGTTGGCATAAATTGAGAACCAAGTTTAGGACTTGGTATGTTCGAGCTGCATTTGGTATAATAATCCACAGTCATAAGTAATTGAAAATTTAAATGAAGATTGTTGCGATTCGAACAGTATGCCTAGATGGAGTATATAATGGAAATATAGCTGTGGTCTATAAATGTAGATGATAAATACGTTAGAGTTCAGTTATCATAACGACAGACAATTGAGAACGAAAGACGTATATGTGTAGCAGTGCATTTGTGAGCGGTTATTAGTGTATCGTGCTATAAGGGATTCCAAACGGAAAAGGAAGGATTCAGGTCGTGCGATTTTAAACGACTGTTTTACAGTCACTCATAATAAATGTACAAACTACGAGAATTAATGGAAGAAGTGCAAATAGTATAGAAGACTAATTACAAAATGAGTTTGTCGTAACTATCTCCACACACTAAAGTGAACCATAGGTGAACCTACTTCTCATGATCAGTCAACTCTTGGAATTTGCTAAAGACTTAAGCGGTACAAATGACTTCCTGGAGTCCTTCGTGAGAACTCAGAACATTATATGATACCAAATCCCTTCTAGTCATGTTTATTTCATACATCAAGGTCCTTGACTGGAGACGTCACTAGTCCGTTTCTACTAAACATTGAAGTCCATTAAGCAAAAGCTTCTATTCCATCCATAACCACTTGGAATGAAAGAGAAGCTATGAAGTTGTAGTGTGGTGTTCGGTCGCGGTTGACTATGGTCACCTCTACAGGAAGATTATGTGACAGTTAACCGATAAGATCTCCGCAAGCGAAATATCAGCAGGCAGCTGATGGCTGCAGTCAATATGTATCTGTTGACGATCTCTTAGTATCGAAAGAATACCGAGATCGTGACAAAGGAGTACAAGCGGAATCACTAAGCAAACGTAAGCGCGTGCAAGGTTACAATCAACGGAAAGAAAGATGTCTTTAGTACGGTTAAGCAAACAAGTACAGTGAAACAATCCGTGGTACAATTGGTTATAATAATAATTGTTTCCATTACATCAATCGCGTTCTCTTGATTAAAGTAGGTCACTACAAAGTAACCAAAAGTCTCGCTAATCTGTGGCATCAATTTCCGCTCCTAATATTTCGTTTCATTATTTCACTAATGCTATGAATAAAACTTGGTATTCCTGCTACTTTGCTGTTGCGAACTTATATCATCCTATACAATGTTCAGTTTCTATTTTTAGGATTCTGAAACGTCATTCTTTTTAATGAACTCTCTTCAAGTTCTTGTACTGAAGCACGCAAATAAAACTAATTCCCACTGTTAACCAATTTATTCATTTGTGATTACGCTTTCTGATAGTTTTTTTTGCTGAGGATGTTTTGAATTTCGTGTTGGTGAATTAAAACAACTTTTAGCGCCTCGGGCGGCTGTTCACGTTTTGCTGTGGCTGTATGTGATCTGCATTGGTATATGTGTATTTGTTATTTTATTTAGCGTTCATGCCTTACATTTAATAGTAGTTGTAAACACACATTGGGTTTATGTTTCATTTTTTGGGAAGTAATTTGTCGTTTCACTTCAAAATTCTCGGGATTTTCACACTTACAATTTGTTTAATATGAAGCTATAATGAGAAAATATTTTACTTCAAAATCATTAAGATTAGTAATTCTGTGGGAGACCAATATCCATTTGTAGTTACAAGTCAATAGCGTTGTGACACGGCTTTTTATACAGTTCTGTGCTGTAAAATCAATTTCCGCCTGTAGACAGCTTGCTTGTTTACCTTTCGGAATCATTTTCCTAGTTTACCAGTTCCAAGGCTAATCAGTGGACATGATTTAATTCGGTCCAAGTGTTTTGTTCATCTTGTCATTAAACATCTCGCACATTATTCCAGAGTTGGAGAAATTGTTGTGACCAAGGTATTCACGTTTACATCAAAAATGCGTCTCTCTACTCTCATTTATTATCACCTTGATTAGATTCTATGTATCTCAGATGGGATTTTCTCACTTTTGTTACCCATAGCCGTATCATGGTTTCATCATGAATCAAAGCTAGACCTAAAAATTATACAGTTCTCTCATTTGTTTGTGCTCTAAGTTGTTACCTATTATTTG